AGAATAGTTACTTCCTTTTTGTTTGCATATGATTGATTTATCTTTGCCTTTCCTTTGCTTTTAACCTTTTGACATGACCTATGATTTTTTTGTTGTTATATCTGGACTAAAATAATGAAGTTATTCATGGTGCACTTTTAATTTGAACTTTTAGTTGCACTGATCCCACAATAGAATTTGTAGGCCCTCTGGAAAAAGTGATGGCTTTTAGAAGATAAAACATTTATAATTTTAGAAGTCAAATAAAATTTTTAGTAGTGCTTGTGGCCAGGAGAACTTGGTAGCCACATTTCACACACCATTGAAATTGCCTCTTGTTTCATCTAGAAATAGGGAAGAAAACGCCCAAGTTCAATATTTCTGCTAGAGGCCTTTTACAGGGCAGTATTGTTAAATAACAAATAACCTTTGTGAAAGCTGTTTATATCACTAAGCAGATTACTAAGCCCTTCAGTGTCTTAAATAAATGAGAAACATGAAAATAGAAATAAATGAACATCTACATAAATAATTAAAATTGCTTTTGAATACATAACAAGGCAAGTGAAATGAAAATGCAAAGGCATTAAACATGTAGTTAGCGCTTTTATTTCCAAGAATTAGAAATCCTTATTTTTTGGTTACAGTATAAAATATCTTATGAATAATTCATTTTTACTCATAGAGTGATGTGAAATTATTTATAGGCCTCTTTAAGGTTAGTGGTATAATAAAACATGACCGAATAATGACTGCCTACTTAGTATTTGATCTCTCCTTTCAGTAATATTAGAAGTTTCTTTTTCCTCCAGGTTCCTCACACACTCAAATGCAGAAGTAGATTACATCCTTTAAATAATAACTTATTCTTAAACCAAGCCATAGGGAAGGGGGAGAAAGAGAATGAAAACATGGTTTGCCAAGCACGGTAAATGGTTTGGAATGTCAAAGCTGGTTTGGATGAGGCCCTCAGTGCTCAAATAGCTCTGCCATGCAACTGTATAATTTGATCTAAGTTCTACAGAGGGTGGAAAAATCACACCATGCATGGTGACTGTGTCACAGGAAGGAAGCTACAACCTCAAGTTGGTTTAACAATGCATAAGGATGAGCTGTTAGTTGGCTTCAAAGAAGCAGGCAGGAAAGTCTAGATTTACTCTTCTTGACTGTGTCAATGAAAGAGCAAGAAAGAAACTGACTGGAGTTTGTAAGCTGCTGGGCTCGTGGTGAGACCCAGCTATTAGACACCGTGATGTCAGGACTTCTCGGTGTCACAAATCAGAAGTGGAATGATGATAGATCAGAAGTTAGAGTTTAAATGGAACTCATTTTCCCTCAGAACTTCACTTAAACACATTTTGTTTGTTTTTACACTAAAAGTGGTTCAGAAGAATAAAGTAAATAGGATACCTTTTAACACAAGTGAGTGTGGAACCTATTTTGTTGCTCCCTATATGTGGCAGACAAAACCTCCAAAGGGGTCTTTATCTGATCAACAATTTAATTAAACAAAGACCTGATAGTCTAATGAAACTGTCTGGAATAGCATGGTTCTCAGTGAGATTCGAAAATAGCATTCAAGTAACAGATCAGTATTATATTACACATGTTGAAATGGTCTTATTTCATCCAGCTTTCAATTATATGTGTGAAAAGTCCAACTTCAAGCCTTAATATTTTCTCTCTGCCAGCTCTGTAGTCATCAAAATACAATTATTTATTATTTAGTCAGCATGAACAAAAGCTCACATTGCTGTTGAGTTTTCAATGTTACTGTGAAAGCAAACTTTTACAGACCTGAGATTTGTTTCTTCCTGCAGGTGGATGAGGTAATGCTGACTCTGAAACAGGCTTTCAGTACCGCCGCTGCCCTGCAGAGCGCCAAGACCCAGATCAAGCTGTGTGAGGCCTGCCCTATGCACTCTTTGCATAAGCTCTGTGAAAGGATTGAAGGTACAGTATAACGTGGCCTTGGCACAAGAGGAGTTTGCTTTGGCATTTGGGAAATGAGAAAATCCCTACTGTCATTGAATAGTTCTTTGTTTCTGTGTGAAACAAGAACCCAAAGAATCATTTCTCATGTCCAGTCAAATTGGAGTGTGCTGTCAGTTTCTGCTGTTTGCTTGACTTTCTCTCTCTTTTTTTTTTTTTCTTCTGAAGGCAATCTCAGGAAGGGACTTATATTTCCCACACTTCTTAAGACTCTGCTATGTACATAGTGACAGTTGACCAGATATTTTTTGGATGAACAAAGAGAGGCGAAAACCATCACAGAATGTCTACTATTTATTTAGTCTTCCTTTTTCACCCCTTACCTGATGAAGTGTTCCTTTTCTAAAAGTTTAGAACTGTAATGAAACTTGCTGGGTTTTTGAAGGACACTTGTAAATGACAGAGATAATAGAGGTGGTATCATAAGGTTGTTTTTCTTTCTTTTTTGAGACGGAGTGTCGCTCTATTGCCCAGGCTAGAGTGCAGTGATGTCATCATAGCTCACAGCAACCTCAAACTCCAGGGCTCAGGCGATCCTCCTGCCTCAGCCTCCCGAGTAGCTGGGACCACAGGCACGTGCCTCCCCACCTGGCTAAGTTTTCCCCTATTTTGAGTAGAGACAGGTCTCGTTATGTTGCTCAGGCTGGAGGCAGGTTTTTTAAAAAACGTGTTCTGAAGAGGAGAAAGGGTATGAGGGAGAGGTGACCCTGGCACTCAACTTCCCTTTTTTCTCATTATCTCTCACTAACAAAAAAAGCTTGAAAACAATTGCATAAGAGAAGAAGCACAATTTTATAAATACTTGTTAACTGTCTACTCTGGCCCAGGCGTTGTGCTGGGCACTGGGGAGACAGAAATGATTGAGACATGGACTGTGCTTCCAGGAAGCTTCCAGTCCAGAGTGGAAGAAAGGCGTGTGAGCAGATAAATGCAGTTCAGTATGATAGGTGTTATAGAAGATAAGAAGAGTCCCAGTTATTCATAAACAAAGCAGAGAATAGTCTAGACATTGTAAATGCAAATTGTGAATTCCCTGCAGTAGGCAGCGGAATCATAGGCACATGGCATAATCAACGATGACCAGCAATATTTATTGAGTATCTGAGCAACTCTGTGATCAAGGACTATTTCAATGTAATATTCAGATTCGAAAGTGTATCATTATAATTTTGCAGAATGCACATTGTTTTCAAACATATAAAGCATTTACAAAAATGGGACATTCTTTGATGTATAGTGGAGGGGGTATTATAAATCTGTGTGTGTGCGTGTGCTGAATAACTCAGGAGATGGTGTTGGGTCAGTTAGCTATGCAAAAGGGGAGAGATACATTACACTCATCCTGTCCAAAATACGTTTTAGATGGATCAAAGTCCTCAGGTAAACAAAGAAAATATTAAAATCATTAAAAGAAAACAAGAACGATATTCTTACTCCTTGAAGAAGAGGGCTTTATTAAGACACAAAAATGCAAAAACTATTAAAAGAAGATACTGCCAGATTTGACTTCTTGGAAATTTAAATCATTTACATGCCAATTAATGCTTATTTGGAAGTTAAATGGTAAGTAACAAACAAGGAGATGGTGGATTGACATTCAGAATTTGTAAGAACTTTATAAGAAAAAAATAAAATCACTCAGTAAGAAATGACATAAATCATATTAAAAAACACTTCTCAGAAAAGGAAATTAAAAGTTCCATAATGAAAATGAGATGATTTGGAACCTCACTGGATGCCAGAGAAATGAAAATAAAAACAAGAAAGTCATCAGATTAACTGTTGAAGAAATTGTAGGGATATTGGTACATTTATGTAATACTGATGGGAGTGTAAATTGGTATAGCTATTTTTGGGTGACAATTAATATAAACTCTTTAACCTAAAGTTGCACATGCTCTGTTAACCGGAAGTTCCATGTCTTGATAAGAGAAACACTTATTTGGGTACAGAAGGTGACATTTTCAAGATTGTATTATTTGGAAATAATGGAAAATTGGAAATAATCTAAATGTTCATCAATAGCATAATTGAAAGTATGTTCATATAGTGAAGCAATTAATGGGAATGAATTTTAACTGTATGTCAACATGGATACATCTTAAAATTATATTGTTCAGTGAAAAAATAATTTGCTGAATAACATATACAGCATATATATGTCTGAAAAAATACATAGAAAAATACCCACCCTCCCTTCCTTTCTTCTTTCCTTCCTTTCTTCCTTCCTTCTTTCCTTCCTTCCTTCCTTCCTTCTTTCTCCTTTCTTTCTTTGTCAAAGTCTCGCTCTGTTGCCAGGGTTAGAGTGCAGTGGCGTCATCATAGCACACAATAACCTCAAACTCCTGGGCTCAAGCAATCCTCCCACCTCAGCATCCCGAGTAACTAGGACTGCTACTCCCAGCTAATTTTTCTATTTTTTGTAGAGATGAGGGTCTTGCTATATTACTCCGGCTAGCCTCAAACTCCTGACGTCAAGGGATCTCCCACCTTGGCCTCCCAGAGTGCTAGGATTATAGGCGTGAGCTACTGCACCCAGCCCATATATCTCTTTTTAAAAAAACTTTGATTTACTTTTAGATTTATAGAAAAGTTGTGGAGAGTTGCCAAATATTCCTCCCTTATCCTCTCCCACTGATAAATTAACACCGGTATGAAGCTGTTACCTGAACTAAACACTTCATTTGATCTTCACCAGTTTTCTCACAAATGGTCTTTTTTTTTTTTTTGGTTCCGGAATCCCAGTCAGGGTCCCACATAGAATGTAGTTGTTATTTCACCCTGGTCCCCTGCAGTCTGTACGTACCCTTGCATCCGTCTTTCCTTGTCTTTTGTGACCTTGACATCCCCAAAAATACTGCTCAGTTATTTGCTGAATGTCCCTCAGTTAGGCCTGTCTGGTGTCTTCTGATGTTGTACAATGAAAGGTGGAGTGGAGAAGTTTTCAGAAACTTTTCTTTTTATTGCCCTTCTATACTGCACAGTGGTTTAAATGGGTCCAGTGGTAGCTTGGCCACAGTATGTCAGCACTGTATGCATTCTGGCAATCATGGAGTGAATTCTAGTTCTTTTAAAACAATGTGTATTTTCAGGTGATTCTTTCTCGCACTATCTGTAGAGATCCTGATATTTCTTTAATTAAAAAAAAATAGCTCAGATGTGATTAAATCAGTTTATTTCAATTAGCTATCACCTCAAATTTTCTTAGAAATAAATACAATTAGAAAACTGCACAATGTGCTTATAGACTAACAAATTATTCTTAAATTCTGTGATGCAACTTAGCAAAACAAATTATATGAATGTTTAGTCAATTACTTTGTCTTACTCTTTAAAAATAATGAATACATTGAAAACATTCAAATTATGGCTTAACATCATGTAATGTATTTAACTGTAACCTC